CACAGCCCCGCCGCCCCTCCGCTGCCCCAGCCCCACCAACCCACCGCTATCCCTGACCCACTGCCGCCCCACCTCCGCAGTAGCACCATCGTCGCCCATTCACTGCCTCGGCCTCACCGCTACCCCACCGCCCACCGCTGTCCTGACCCCACCGTCCAATGATCTAACACAGATCTAGAAGAAGAAGTACACAGATCTAATACAGATCTAGAAGAAGAAGAAGAAGAAGGAGAAGGAGGAGGAGGAGGAGGAGGAGGAGGAGAAGGAGAAGGAGAAGGAGAAGAAGAAGGAGAAGGAGAAGGAGAAGGAGAAGGAGAAAGAGACAGAGAAGAAAAAGAAGAAGAAGAAGAAGAAGAAGGGGGAGCGGGAAGAGAAGGGAAATGGCCAGATCCGGCTGAGAAAAGAAAGCGAAGAAACAAGAAAAAGAAGGGGGAACCGGGAAGGGAGAGAGAGAGAGAGTGATGAAGATAAGGCTGGCCATGGGGAAGGACCGAAGGAGAAATGGGGAAGGAGATGGTGAAGGAGAAGAAGGGTATTATTGGAAGAGTGTTGATAAAAACGTAGAATGAGAAGATTATTTTTGGACGAAAAAAAAAGTAGAGTAGGAAAATTATTTCCGGACGGAGAGAGTAATTATATTCTTTTCTTACAACTCATTTTTAATGTTTAAATTTATATTTTAATACGAAATTTTAATAATATTGCATAATTATCTTATTGTTTTTCAAAATTTCTACATATTTAATTTTTTATTCATAATATTAAAAAAGACATGTCACATATCTTACTTTTTTATTCATAATGTTTAAAAAGACATATTAATCAGAAAAAATATCTTACTTTTTTATTGTCATATTAAAATAATTCTTTTGCTTAATCAGTAAAAATTAATTAATTCGTATCAGGTTGAACATTTCAGATGATAAATGAATATCGCTAGTCTCCGAGTCATTTTGTGAGTCACATCATAAGTTCTAATTATTTAAGTGTATAAGCTACAATTTGATATTATTTTTGTTTAATCAATGAAACATTGAATTGTTTATGTTAAGTTCTTCCTCCCAAAGAATATTAAATAAAAAATGTTTTCACTTCGTCTCAGTTTTTTTTTGACATGAATTATAGAGACACAAAACTGAGAAATGAAAAATTGTATGAATCACACAATAATGTTTCTTTTATTTTAATCGAATTTACAATAAAAGAAAAAAAATAGAATAAGGAAATGAAAAAAGATAAAGATAAAAAAAACTTTTGTAGAAAAAGGGAAATGAAGTCATTATATAAATCTATTGTGCATTGGTCTAAAAAACTTTCTTATGTATTCTTTTTGTCCACCATATTTAAAAAATAAGAAATTTCTTAGAAAAAATGAAAGTATTTCATTAGAGACAAATGAAATGCCTATTAATTTTTTTAAAAAGGGTGCTCAATTTCAAAACCAAATGGGGCACCAAAAGTTCAAACTATTCAAGTAATATTTGAAGACTATTAGGGGTGAGCGTGGAACGGTATGGTACAATATTTGGTTACCGGTACCGTTCCAAAAATTTCGATTTGGTATGATATTTTACAGCGTATTGATGTCAGTTCGGTATGATTCATGATGGTCCAATTTCGGTTTCGGTAAATATTGGAATAAATGTTTATATGTACTTAGTTACACTTTGAAATGTGCAAAAAAAATCCGGTAAAAAAATCAAAATTACATTCAAATAAAGAAAGATAAACAGTTGAAAAATGAATAATTAAATACAAGCAATTTTTTAAAACTTAGTTTAATTCATACTTTATATTTCATGAAAAAAAAAATGAACGATAATAAAATAGTATTTCAAATGTTTGTTAATTTTTTAGTCATCTACAAAAAAAATTAAAATTCACATAAATAATTATTTAAATAAAATATTATTTATAGTTCATATACACTTGAATCAATTTTTGAAAATCATTCGAGATTTATTCGGTACTTGCTCACTAATTATTATTGAGCATTATCGAAGAAAATAGAAAGACGTAAGTTTGAACAAATAGGAGTGGCATACGATAAATTCGGCCCAAAATCTTTCAAAAAAAATTGGGAGATGCTAGGGGTACACTTTTAGTGTACCCACCATCTATTTTTATTTTATTTTTATTTATTTATTTATTTTTGAATTTACTTACCAATTTTTATGGTCAAAGAGGGGTGGGGAACATTTGGAATACCCTACCATTTTTTTCAAAAAATAAACTCGGCCCAAAAATGATTAGACCTGGCAAAACTGACCCGGACCCGATAACTCGAACCGAATAACCCGGAACCGAACCCGAATTGACCCGAAAACTAAAGAACCGAAATAGAATCGAACACCCGAAATGATCCGAACCGAACCGAATGTATTCACACCCGATTCAGACCCGAATCCGATTAAACCCGAACCGATTAAGCCCGAACCGATTAAACCCGAACCCGGTTAAACCCGAACCCGGTTAAACCCGGAACCGATTAGACCCGAAACCGATTAGACCCGAAATTGATCAAATTCGTTAATATTTCATTTATAAAATGAATTTGGAGAAAAAGAATTACCTATATATTTTTACATATATTGATGTGTTTCTAAAAAAAGATATTTAAATTATAGGTGCAAACCGTGTAACTACTTTCATGTACTAATCTTTTACTCCGTATTTTATAACTTGAGTGAAATAGAGAGTATATAAAAATTATAGTGACAAATATTCGGCGACAGAGGGAGTATATTTTTATATATAATTATTCAAATATTTGAAACACAAAATGAAATGGATAGTTAAATAGATATTGAGGAAGTACGAGGTAGAATGTTAACTAAAAAGGTCGCGCCGAAAACTTTAAGAGGAAAAACTTTAGAATGTAAACAATTAGTCAATTATGCAAGTGTTTATTTTTTATGTGTGTCCGTGTTAAGTAATAAAATAACTACGGAGTATGTCATAAATTAACTAAATTTATTATGTGATATTATTCATTTATTAGTATGTGTTTACATTATACTTGAACTAATATAAATTTAAACCGATATAAACTCGAATTTATATAAACCCGAATCGATACAAACCCGAACCGATAGAAACACGAACCGATATAAACCCGAACCGATATAAACCCGAACCGATACAAACCCAAACCAAAACTGAAAACCAATCAAACCGAAATAAACCTGGAACCGAACTGACCCGGTCCAAACCGACCCGACCCGAACCGATTATAACATTTATCCGAAAGAAATTCGAACCGAAAAGACCCGATCCGGAACCGAACCGATTGACCCGATTGCCAGGTCTAAAAATGATACGGAGTGTAGGCAATGAAAGACGCACGTGTCGTCATGTCTTTAGACCCTCAGAAATGTACGGACGACGTGTCACCTGGCAGGCGATCGACCGATCTGTTCATGTCATGCGATAAACCCCCACAAGGACAACAATTAACCCAACCGAGGAACGGAATGAAATTGCGGCGGCTGGCGGCGGCATATGTCACCCGACGATGATGTCCCTGCCTTCTAATTAACGATGATATGATGATGAGCAGCAGGTACGACGAGGAAGATCAGTTGGAGGAGGCAGCCCTGATCGTCGCTTCTTCATCCGCTTTGCTTTCTTTCCTTCTCTCCACTCTCTTGATCTTCCAGCATCTCAGATCTTACACCAATCCCGCTGTTAGTTCCTTGATCAATTCTTCTTTTTCCTCTTTTCTTCTTTCTTGATTATAAAATTGTTCACGAATTAGTGATTACTTAGCATATTTTAATGTTTTTTTTCAGGAACAGAAATGGATTGTTGCTGTCATCTCCATGGTTCCTGTCTATGCCACTGAGTCAGTAAGGCCCCCCTTCATATATCTTTTTTCCCCTTAGCTTCCTCCTTGTTTTATGGTTCTTAATTATTACTTGTCCCTCTTTTGATGACATTTCCCCCAGATTTTGTCTTTGTGGAACCCAAACCTGTCTCTTGCGTGTGACATTCTAAGAAATCTATACGAAGCTTTCGCTCTCTACTCTTTCGGCAGTTACTTGATCGCCTGCCTTGGTGAGTTTCCCCTTTTTTTTCTCTCATTTCTTTTCAACCCACTGCCCCATATGCAGCATTAATTAATGGTAATCAGGCATATTGACCATTCCCTGTAGGGGGCGAAAGGAGAGTTGTGGAACTACTAGAAGACGAATCGAGAAAAGGGACCAGCCAGCAGCCATTACTGAGCAGGGAAGAGAAACAGCCTAAGACGAAGGAGAGAACGTTCTCCAACTTCTTCCTTCGCCCGTGCGTTCTTGGGGAGCGTCTTCTCACAATAGAGAAGTTTGGTCTTGTGCAGTATGTAAGACAACAAAGGCTCTGTTTTTCCACTCTTTGTTTGGATTTGATATTTAGGATTGGTATCATTTATTTCGTTCACTCTTTCGGTTCAGATGATATTGAAGACTTTATGTGCATTCTTAACGCTGGTTCTGGAACTGTTAGGCGTGTATGGCGATGGCGAGTTTAAGTGGTACTATGGGTATGTCTTTCCTTTTTGTAACTTTGCTTCTAGAGAGAGATATATATTATGAACACTACTTTATTTGTGTACAAAGTTTGTTACTAAACATGATTGATTACTGTATTGAATTAGTAAGTTCTTAAATCAGGTACCCTTATATTGCAGTGGTTCTCAACTTCAGCCAGATGTGGGCTTTGTATTGTCTGGTGCAATTCTATAACGTGACTCATCTCAGGCTTAAGGATATTAAACCCCTTGCGAAGTTTATTAGCTTTAAGGCAATCGTCTTTGCTACGTGGTGGCAAGGCTTTGGCATTTCCTTGGCTTGCTATTGGGGTGTCCTATCCAAGGAAGGGAAGTTTCAGACGGGATTGCAGGACTTCTTAATCTGCATAGAGGTCTTCTTTTTGTAGCATTGTTCCTTTCTAGATATTCATTTTGTTTGGTTTCATTTAATTGGGTAATTAAAGAACTATGTGTGGTACTTGTTTTTTCACGGCATGCAGATGGCAATTGCTGCTATAGCTCACATCTTTGTATTCTCTGCAAAGCCTTATCGTCATACCTTGACAGTAGTACCGCCTGTGTATGGAAAGATCACCACTCAAAAAACAGAAACATCCATAAATGTAGAAGACGACGAGGAATTGCCAGCTGTTGTGGAGAAGACAGAGGCCGAGCTGAAGGCTCCAGGAACCAGTGTGAAAGAAAGTGTTCAAGACATTGTTGTGGGAGGTGGCCAGCAAGTAAGGATAAGATCCTTTGCTTGTTCGTATTCGATGGGAAACCATCTCTTTTCTTCAATATTGGTTTTTACCAGCTACTGAAACATGTGAAATTTTGCAGGTCGTTGAGGATGTGGTGTTGACAATCAACCAGGCAATTGAACCTGTGGAGAAGGGCGTGACGAAGATCCAAGAATCTTTCCATCAAATATCAGTTTCTTCTATGTCGGATGGAAAGAAAGAGCCGGAAGTGAAGCTCAAGGAAACAGGAAAGCTCCTAACAAGAGATGACGAGAGAAGAGTTTGAAAAAAATACTCTGTAATAGTTGTGTTTCCATGAGCCAAAAACATATTTAAACCTATAAAAAGATAATGCTACAGGTTTCATCGTAGCCATATCTTATCCCTCGTCCCCGGAACAGCACAGTTCACAAGTAGTGAAACAACCTAAACAAGCTAAGGAACCAAGAAACTGGGTCATGATAATGGCAAATTGGTCATTCATCTTGGAACACGCCTGAATGCAGCACAAGCAGCAGCAGCACTTATCGAAGAGGGCTCCCCAACAGTTGGATGCTGCCTTGACAAACAGGTCCGCAACATCGGGTTTTGTTTCGATCACGCCCGGTCGTGTGTTCTCAGCCGTGGCGCTCAGGTCACCGAAACCCAGTCCGAGGTTTTGGAGTAGCGCTATGATCTCCTGCTCTTGTTTATGAACTTCCTTTTTCTGCAGACCAGAAACCTGATACTATATTGTTCTTTTTTCCTTGGTTTTTTAAGTAGGATGTAACAATAACCTAAAAATCGTATTAATATATTTGGTACCTTCGTTTTCGTGTTGGACATATCTCTGGTAGTTCTGCCGCTCCCTACCAAGGCCATGTGTGTGTACTCGGAAACAATAGCATTCTGCGCACTCATTTGTGCTATCTGGAAATGCAGGGAGGAAATGACTTAGATGGATGACAATGGGAAACTGTTATTAGTCTGAAATAATCAAATGCTTTTCATATACCTTGCTTAAAAGCTTTTCGCTCTCAGTAAACCATGCCTGACTAGTGAGCATCCTAATTTGATGGTGTGCCAGTACCTATCAAACATTACAATAACAACACTTAGTAGACAACTAGACACATATCCCAATCTGTCACATGTAGATCCTTAAAGCTTGTGACATCACTGTTTCAAAAATCCCTCTTCCGTTTCTCTTTCTAAGTGCATGATGACCAAACCAGTTAAACGAATACTAAAATGAGCCTTGAACACGTCAAAAAATTCCAAATATAACCGTATCTACCTTATCAAGAGGTATGTCCTTAGCCTCTTGCACCTTCAGGTTTATAGAGAAATTGCTGAAGTCTGCAAGGATACCTCTCGCTTCAAGATGGCAGTTCTTGGGAAATACTCCGCTGTATCTGCCGGATAGAACCAATGGGCTTTCTGATGATAGGTCTGGAATCCGATATGGATATACCTATCATGTAAAGTTTGAAGCTACTATGTTATACAAATGATTAACCGCAGATGGAAAGTATGATAGCTCTCTCCCATTGCTCTCAAGATGATTAAATCAGCTAAACACATGTTTCCCTTCAAACAATTTGTACCTCAAAATCCTTGAGATGAAGAGTTTTGAAGTCTATGCAAATATTTGCAAAAATGATGGATGATGCTCTGGCGAAGAAGTTTTCCAACCGAGCCTCAAGTAAATCTGAACAAGCACAGGTTAGCAGATATATGCATAAAATTAATGTTATAATAACTGTACATTGCATAGCTTGTGCATAATACAATCACATACAACAGATCAATTGAACTTAAAAAACCTACCGGCATCGTATGCTGCATCATAAAAGCCACAACCCATCATTGCAAGCGTGTGGAGGAAATAATGGTTACAGAACCTTCCTGGAAAATCTTCAAATGATCAACCACCAATAGAGTAGTAGAAGAAACAGCAATGATAACTTTAGCTAATAAAGAAAAAATGTTGAGCAAAGTCACTGGTGTAATTTTCTCACATGTCTACACAATACTTACCAATTCCAAATGTGAAAATCCGTGGGTACATAGTCCTGGTTTTTGCCAGATGATTCTTGAGGACGTCACAGATATGTCTTTCATCTTTAACAGTCCCATCAGTAATGAGGAAAATAACAGGAATTGCTTTACTGGTTTTAGATAACATCTCAAGGGCCTGGCCAAGTAAAACAAGTATTATAATGTTGTTTGCTTGTTTCCCTAAACTAGGTTGTCAATCCTTTTAAATCTTTGCCTTATTTATATATACTGCCTTTTCTCCTCTTTTGTAGCAAGGTTGGAGTCAATGAAAACAAATTAAGAATAGGGCAAGAGAGAACAAAACCTGACTCAGTGGACTCAAAATATTTGTACCACCACCAGCAACGAAATTCATGTTAATCCACTGAGTTGCATTTTCGATAGCTTCCTGAGTTGCCAACTCCATGGATGATGAAAACATATAAGATTCACCATTAAATGCTAGTATACTAAACGCATCTTGAGAGTCGAGCTTCGATAGTGCAGCAAAGAGTGCATTTTTTGTATCCTCAAGAGGTTGTCCCCTCATGCTCCCACTTATGTCAACAACAAAAACCACTTCCTTCCTGAAGCACTGCCATGAAAAAAAAACGTTATGAAAACTACAAGTTTCAATTGAATAAGCAAGGCCATTGAAAACTTCCCAGAATTCAGCACTGAAGAGTCTTAAATTTTACTTATCAATACTAATCCATTTTTAGCCACGAAACAATTGCATCAAGATGGTTACTCGGTAGAGTCAATACATTAACCAAAAAAACGTTCTACCGGGTCTCTTAGATTTTCCAATCTTGCATGCAGGCATAGCAAAGTAGTCTTTAAAAACCATTTTGTGTTGTAAATCACTAAATTGTAATTAGCCAATGCATTTCAAGGGGACCTTCATCTGTGTCCAGCCAGGAGGTTATAAAAGAGTAAACGACATAACAAAGGGCTAACCAACCATTTTACTTTGTTCACTTCCGGGGAAAAGATAGCAGTAGAACATATCTCTTTGGTCAATGTCATGAACTGGCGGAGATTGCAAAAACACACCGCCAAAGGTTTGGCTTGACGAGATCTGAACACATGAAGAGTCAATGGATAAGATATCAAATGTATGCAGACCATCAAACTACAGAGTACTTGACTGCAAACATGTGAAGCTTCTTTTCTTTTGGAGGACAAACAGGTAACATCAGTAAATTTATAGAGGAATAATCACTATCACCATATAATTGGTAGATGATTTTTTCTAATTACATTAATAGGGTACTACCGAGTATGTAAAAACAAAGTCATTACTGGACCAATCTAGAACATCTGCTTCATAAAAGTAGCCCAACTTCCCAGCTTGACGCCTTATTTCCTGAATGATAGCATAACAGAGCATAAGAATGCATGACTTGCATCAAAATTTAAAGCAAAAATGTTGCATAACAAACAGCACCTTAAGAGGATGACTGGTTGTTCTGCACAAAACTTCTGCTTCTAGACCACAATTTACATTCAATTGTATCTTCTCTCTTTTTGACACTTTCTTTGCAGCAGGAACTACATATGCTGGGAAGGTGAACGGAATCTTCAGGGTGAATTGCCCATCATGGCAAAATATCTTCTGAGACCAGCTGATGGTGACTAGCATATTAGTTCCCCCGTCAATCTGAAAGGGGAATTCCACATATATTCTTTATTAAAATGAACATACCGCGCAGTGGGAAATTGTTGTTTAACTACTGAGAATTACCGGAGGAATTTTGATTGTGAAGATGTGTGGTTTCAAAAAGCTTCCATTATCTAACGGCGCTGCCATTAATGGCTCTGTTTTATCATCATCAATGGCTACCAGCTCAGTGCGGTAGTGTTCCCCCGGTACCTCAACCTCCACACTTTGGATTGAACCCTAATTAACAAAATTATTTCGTTTAAGAACACCAATTGGACTGCTCATCAGAGAAACAAATTGATCCGGAAACAAAAAATGGTTTGTAATCTGGATTTACCTTCTCCCCCATAGGAATGGCAATGAAACAATCGCAGCTCTTACTCCTCATGACGCAGTGCACGCGCCACGATCCAGTGACTCTGACGAAAGCCGTGTCTAGATAGCAGTTGGCCTCGAGAGAGCAAGCGTTCAACTGGAGCGGAATCAGAGCAGGAGGATCGCATCTCCCGTGCACGTGAGGCTGGTAGCTCGGAATGTCAGGGTTATCCACGACGGCCGGATTGTCAATCACGGCGTACACCATCGGAGCTGTAGGGAGGCGGGAGGAGAGAGTAGCCTTATCCATTGGTGATATCTGCCTTGGCGGCGCCACCGCCTGGTCCTTGCCGAAGTATAGCCGCTTGGACAGCCGGATGCCATCCTCCACGGCGCAGACGAACTCCTCCGCCATGACACACCTCAACACCTGTATTCGCGGAGCAGGTTTTGAATTTTTTTGACAAAGACGTTGGAGACAGGGAGAGAGAGAGATTCCTGAACTGCGGAAGGGTGTGCGTTAACTACTGATGCGAATTCACTTTGTTTTAAAATGTTAGTTAGAGATTTGATCAGCTAAATTTGAAAAGTATCCGTTTTCCTAGTTAAAGAAGAGTGTGTCCACCCAATTAATTCGCAAAATTTTCAAAATGTTTTTCTCATTTTTGTTTACAAATTTTGATTAATTTTATTCTCAATTCAATTTTTTGATTCTATGTTTAAAATTAAAAAATAAAATTTATATATATTTAAAATCTACATAAAAAAATTTACAAAACAAGATGTGTCAAGACTATATTATTTTATCAAAAACTAACAAAAATGAATAAAGAAATTGATTAAAGTTTGAATGTGTAAGTAAAAAACGTTTTAGGATAAAGGAGTATAAAAATATGATACATTTCAAACTACATTTTTAAAACAAAAAAACCAAGAGGAAATGTAAGTTTGTATGTACGAAAAAAAAGAAACATAACAAGAAAAAAATCTAAGGAAAAAAATATATATACTTAGGTTGTGTTCCCAATCATATTTTCTATTTGTTTGGTAAGAATAAAGATATTTTTTATTGTTTGGTAGGAAGAAATAAATTTTCTTAAAACAGAAAAGTTTCTATTGTTAATATTTAAGAATTAATATTAAAAAATGTTTTGAAACAATTTAACAATATTTTAGTACCATACGAGGCGGTGTAGGGTGGATAGGGGGAGGGAGTAGGGACGAGTGAACGGGATTCATAGGTGGGTGGCAAGTGACGAGAGACAAGGGTGCAGGTAGGGTGTTGGGGTGGGTGGGCTGAGTGTGAGGGTACGATGCCTGGTTGGGGTGGACGATCCAAGGTGGTGGGGTGGAAGTGGACGAGGGTGGCAGTGTATGTGGGGCCGAGGTAGGGGCAGGTGAGGGGCCGCAAGTGAAAGGGGTTTGGAATTGGACGGGGTGCGTGCTTGGCGCTTGGGGACAGAGCGGACAGAGAATGAACATTTTCTTTCGAAATCAAGTGAAAATCATTTTCCTTAATGGGACAAAATATTTTACTCGAAAATTATTTTCCTTTAACTAACCTTGTCAATGCAAAAAAATAAAATTAATTTTTTGCTAAAAAAGATTTTCTCCAACCAAAAACACTCTAAGATTAAAAAATGAAAAAAAATAAAATAAGATCTCTATATTTTTATCTCAAAATAAGAGTTACAAAACCAATAAAGCCAACATAGAATACCAAAAAACAACTACGGAGTAAAAAACATACACTGTCAAAATGCGACAGTAGTCATATTTTAAGGTTAAAAATATTGGTACACATATTTTGGTACTTACTCCATGTTTTACTCCTAGCAAACTAGATTTCTTTACATAAAATCCACTAACCAAAGTCAATGCACAATTTACAGCATCACTCATTACAACTACAAACAAATTTACTCATCACTTCCTTCTTCCCCAGCTTAACTTCCTCACCACAGCAGCTTAGCTTCCTCACCAGAGTGTCTCTCAAAAGCCAGGTAACCGACCACGAAAGCTGCCCCGGTATCTGCTGCCCTTTCGGGCATCTCTCTCGGCCCTATACTTCAAGGGCACCTCCCCAACAACGAGCCGGGGGTAAACCTCTACAATCCTATCTGGGTGCTCTTGCCAAACCTTGAACCCACGTTCCACGTCATCACATGTCATCATGATGTCATCGTCGAGCTCGAGAATGGCTCGGGTCTTTATGGAGGGGTCAGCCTTGAATGAGTTCTCTTCCTCGACTCTTATCCTCACTGGCACAGCGGAGTCAAACTCGGTCAACAGGGGAGGTGTCCCTCTGTTCCACTGGACTACAACCTCACGCACCGAAGAACATCTCGAGTAATGCTTGATAAACATCTTCAAATCCCACAACCGGGCATCATTTGTCAGTGTTAACAGTGTGAATTGAGAGTAGATACCATTCAACGGGTAAGGTTCTTGTGCACCATTACCTCCATATATGAATGTAACCCCGACACATATCATCACGGTTGCCCCAAGAAATGTCCAAGACAGAACTAAAGTTTGGAGAAATATGTTTGGTTGTAATCTGGCGTGGAGAAATATGTTTGGTTGTAATCTGGTGTGGAGAAATGAGCTAACTCGGTCAAGAATCGAAGACAACATGTTTTGTTTTTCCAAACTTAAGGGCATGCTACAAGTCACAGCCCCAAGGATCATTCCCAACAGCACCAAAAGCCCAGCCACAGCTACGACCGAGGCCCAGCCAAGGACCAACCGACGGTTCAGATCTCCTGAAGGGACACGGTCCCCATCCATAACAGCAACCCAGTGTCCCGGACCCACCTGCTGCACGTCAAGCTGATGAGTGCGGGCCCCATTCCACGCATTCCGCCCCTTGAGTGACTCCTCAATCCCCAATGGGACTTCAGTTTCCTTGAACTCATGGGTGGTGAGAACCTCTATTTTGAAAAGACGAACCCGGCGTCCATATGTGCTGCCGCAGTCTTGACCGGCACGGTAAATGTTTCCGTCAAACACAAAGGGTCTGCCCCCGTTTCGAGCTCCCATGCTTTTGTCTTTGTTATAAATTGGGTTTTTCTTGTGTCGCCTCCACGGACCGAGGGGAGAGGAACTATACCAAATCTCCAACTGTCCATTCTTTCGAACGCCAATGCCACTGTGATCTGAACCAAAAAGCCAATACTTCCCGTCATGTGGAATTATGAAAGAGTCTACCATTGGCCTTTTCAGTATCACTCTCTCCAGTGTCCACTCCGTGGGAAAATTCACAGCTTGGTATAGACGAAGGTCTCCTTTTGCACTGCCCTCTGGCATCATATATATCTGTAGAAAACAATATGCTTCTAATTAAAGTTTAATAGATTTAATGGGTCCAAGTTACATGGCATTCATTAACTGTTTATTGTTATAGTCTATAACAGAAGGTACCATGATTCGAAAAGTTTTCACACAAGGAAATTTAAGGCTCAACACATGACAAAATCAAATTGTCCAGAAAAAATGTAATATAAAAAAGGAATGAAATTTAAGAGCTTGGTTGGGAAACCAATTTCTCGGCTTATCGGTATTAAAAAAATTCACCAAACACTTGCTTACATTCCCATTGTAGTCAAAGACATAAGGATAAGAGAGATGCCAATCTTCATCCAACACTATTCCCAATTGTTCCCATGTTGCTCCCTTGTCGAAACTTCTAGCAACTCCAATATCCCCTTGCATCGTGATTGCATTCTTAGTCTCAAAGAACAAGAAAAGAGTGTCTCCCTAAAATTGAGTAAACAACAAACAAGAAATTACATCCAAAGCCGCTGAATATTCAGAAGAACAAAGTTTAGAACATCATTACTCTGCTGAACTTTGAAGTGGAAAAGCTTTCGAAGAACGAAATTATGTAAGAAGGTAATTAGGTATGTATATAGCATACTGAAATTAACACTGGGAATAGTATAAAGTATAAGCTCAACTTGTTGCCATGAACTGTAAGAATCACATATCCCTTCTTAACCTCATTCATTAATCACAGAAAAAGCTGGAAGCCTAATTTTGCATTTCAGAAAATTCCTTGTATGCATTCATGGGAAGTAATTAACATCAAGAAGATGCAAGTATGTGATTAGCAAATAAATCAGGGAGAATGAAGTCACCTTAACATAGAGAAATGGGTCGGCAACAAAATTACTGGGAAAACCAGACTGAGAAGCAGAAGCGCAGGTGAAAACTGGGTTGGCAACTGGCCACGCTGCAGCTTTGGCGCTAGAAATGTTCATCTGCTACCCAAAAAAAATCAGGAAATAGATAGCAATAATTTGCAGTAAATACAGAATAAGGGAGGACTCGAAGTGAAATTTCACCATAGAACTAAGGCTTACATCTTCAATGGGTCTGAGTGAGAAGGGAGAGTCGCCGTAGAACACACCGACGGCCCACGAGCCCTCATTGTCCTCGCGGCAGCCCAGGGTAGAGACGCGGGCTTTCGGCATCACCACGAATCGAGAATAGAGACCCGCAATTGAGCCCAATAATACAAACGCCGCAAGGAAGAAAGCCGTAGGAGACGAGAGAAGGCGCGAATTACAGTTTCTGGCGACCGAGAACGGCGGAGAACCCATTATTATTATTATTGCTGCTAGTGAAGAAACGGCGATGGGATGGACGCAGGACCTGTCGCCGCCGGGGAGAAGAAATCCGGATAAGGAAGAGGAGGATCACATCAAAAGGTGAGGGTTTCCCGAACTCTAAATACATCATCAAGAAATTGGAATAGTCAATAGAGGTTGCGCAGCGGTTCTAGAGAGACTCGGCGACGTCAAAGAGACGACTTGCTCGTTCCAGTGCTATGCTGCGAATACGACTGCGTGGGGAAGGTGATAGGAAACAGAGAACAGCTGCGCGAGTTAGTATATGCAAATTATTGCAGTAAATATACGTAGTACTCATTCTCGCACAAGCATAATGCTTCATTTGAAAAACGTGGTAATCATTCTGAAATAACGCAGTACTCATTTAGAAATAACGTCGTATTCATTTTCATAAATTTATTCAATATTCATTTACGAATAACATAACATCCATTCTAAAACACAGTAGTACTCATTTCCATATACACTAGTACTCAATCTTAAACAAACTTCCATTCATATAATCCAATCCTGAAGAAACTGGAAATCTCGAAGAAAAGATCGGGAGCAACTGGAATCGTGAAGAAAAGATCGGGAGCAACTGGAATCGCGAAGAAAAGATCGGGAGCAACTGGAATCGCGATGAGTTATTCGCATATCCAAGCATATCCATCTTCATGAATCGCCGATTGGAACTTCATCGCGCAGCCTCGTAATCGCCGATTGATCGCGCAGCCACCTTCTCCTTCATGGTCGGCCGTTCTTGCAGCAGGTCTCAGTTTGGCGTTTGCCCTAATTAGTTGCCGGCTGTACGGTTCTTTCCGTACAGCCGGATGTACGGTATAATTTGCGCAGCTGCGCAAGCAAGGATGAAATTTATACTCCCCCTTCACTTACAAAGTATTTGTCCACTTTCATTTTTACACACCATCAAATACACTTCTTTAATCCATTTTATCTTGTAATTTGTATATTAAAAATTATAGAAATTATATATTAATAATCTATATGTTAAGACAAATCAAACAAGATCACACATGACTATATTTAGGCTTACACATTGATAGAATTTGATGAGTCAAAGTGCTTAGATGAACAGTTCTAAAAGTCAAAAGTGGACGAATACACCGGGACGTAGGGAGTATTAATTTGTAAAATTAATACTTACGGAGTATAAAATTTAAAAATGAAATTTATATACTTCAAAAATACATTTAAAATTTTATAAAACAAAAGATGACATAATTATATAATTTTATCAAATTAGTACTGAACATAAGTATAAAAAATTATTAAAATTTGTCCCTATGAGTAGACAGACAACATAATTTGAGAGAAAGAAAGTACTTATTTTTATTATAATAGCATCGGATGAGATCAGCAATGAAATCATATTAGAACATAATTGACCTAGGAAAACAGACCCAGAATCGACGACTCGAACTGAATGATCTGAAATTGAAAAGATCCGAAAAATGAAGATCTGGTTTATAACCGAAATAATCCGAACCAAACCGAAACCGAGCTAAATATATCCAAACCCGATTTAAATCCAAAATTGATTAGATCTGAAACCGAATGAATCCAAAATCGGTTAAATCTCAAACCTATAAGACCCGAAACTGATAAGATCTGAAATCGATAAGACCCGAAACAGATTATATCCGAAACTTGTTATGCTTGGCAATAAACATAGTATATTTATATACACTTGTGAATAATTACATTAATATGATTTCAAATTTTTTACTTCTATTTTACCATAATGAATTACCATATCTAAACAAAATATAAAATTTCATATGTTTTAATCTTATTTTTTTATAAATTGGTATATAAATGAACAATACAACTTACATAAAAAATGTGAGTTAAAACTTATACAACCTCCCTCTCATGCAGTATTGTGTAGTTTGGCCAAAGAGTTGCTTTGAATTGCATTTAATTTCACTCAAGTTTATCTAGTTGCATTCAATTCCACTCAAATCTCAACATATTTTAACCAAAGTATATATAATTTGATAATCAAATTATATTAACTTTTTATTAGAACTAAATATACTTTTCGCTCATAAAAAAGATAAAAATAGATACGGAGTAATATATAAGACGAAGAGAGTATAAAATAATATGAGGTGATGAATTGATGATTGATTGATAAATGCGACATAACAAAAAATGAAAGGATAATTAAATTTTAATTCAAAAATAAAATACTTGGGTAGAAGCAAGTATATCTGAAACTAAAACAACTCCGAACTGAAATATATCCGAATTGAAATATATCTGAACCAAAATGTATCCGAAACCTAAATTAATCCAAACCCATTGACCCGAAAAATATCTGGAACCAAAACCGAAATGACCCGAAAAATGAAGATTCGATCTATAACCGAAAACCCGAAATGATCCGAATCGAACCAAAACCGATCTAAATAATTCATATCCGATTTAAATCCGAAACCGATTAGATCCGAAACCGATTAAACCCGAAACTGATTAGATCCGAAACCGATAATACCCGAAACCGATAAAACCCGAAACTGACTAGATCCGAAACCGATTAGATCCGAACCCGATTAGAACTAAAATCGATAAATTCAGAACTATGTTTGCCTTTCAATAAGCATATTATATTTTTAAATTTTTACTTTTATTTTACCATTTGAACAAATTACATTACTTGCTCAATCCCTCATAAAATGGATTACTTTCTTGAAAAAAGTACTAATTACATATAAATGATAACGCACAAACAAATAAAATTTCCATAATTTTTAAATAGTGAAGTTTGATATTCTTTTTGGACGAAAGAATTATATAATGAATTGTATAGAATAACTAGATTTTATCCTAATTTCATCCCATTACAATAAATTTTATTTATTTGAGACTTCATTTGATTAGTTTCAAACCAATTCACTCAATATTAGTCAATAAAATTGATGCTAGTGTTAGTATTTTGAAAAGACTCTCTAGCGGTAACTTTTAGTGATATCATTTTCAAATTTGATCAACACCATTACATTTAGGTGTAAACTAATTATTTTGACTCTATTTAATTTTTTTTATCTATTTTCAACCAAATACACTTAATAATTCATAAATTTTGCACTCAATTGAATAAAATTCACTTAATTTCACCCAATTTTACTCAATTTTTACCAAATTTTATTCAAATGGAACATAACAGTATTTGAATTTATCTTATATCTTTTCATTTATAAACATAAGTATATTAGTAGATGTGAGAAAAATTTGATATATCAAAACTAAATTTTAAAATCAATTTAATTATATTAAATTTATATCATAATTATATATATATGTTTTCATAATTTGTAGTCCAAGTTTGTAAAATATGACTAAAAAGTCAAAAAGGGAAGATTATTTAGGATAGAGATAATATAATTAGAAAAAAATATAAAATAATATGAGGTATTGATTTGATGATAGATTGATAAATGTGATAAAACATAAAAAGAAACATGGATAGTTAAAAATTAGAAAATAATATATATCCAAAATATATTTGATCCGAAATCAAAATATATCCGAAACGAACTAGACCCGAAACCGAAATATTTCCAACTCAAATTGTATCCAAACCAAAATCTATCCGAACTGATTTATAACCGAACCGTATCTGAACCGACTCGAAACCGAACCGAACCAAAAAATGTATAGAACCGAATCAAATCCGAACTGAATTTAACTGATCCGAACCGAACCGATTATAACATATAACCGAAAGATATCCGAGCCGAAAAAATCAACCCGAAACCGATCCGGTTGACCCGATTTTCACCTCTAATCCTAACCGAATTTGAACCGACTCGGAGCCGAAAAATGTATGAAACCGAATTAAACCTAAACCAAAATTTAATCGAACCGATCCAAATCGAATCGATTATAACATATATCCGAAAGATATCTGAATCGAATTAATCCAAACCAGAACTGATCCGATTGATTTGATTGCCATCTTCAAGAACATTTAATATCCTCTCAAACCATAAAAATCAATCAAACTAGTTAAAATCAAACATAATCATATCAAATTAAACTAATTCAGAAAAATGTTGAAAACATAATGGCATTATTCTGTCTATGAATAAATAATAATAACTATATGATTAAATCATTTACATTACTAGCATTTCAACATGTGGCACGCACGAGTTGGGATAAAATTGTTTCGATTTTTAGACTCTATAATTGGATCAATAGAGTCGATTTCAATTCGGATATTGCTCAAATATGTGTCATAATCGGTTCGGATATTGCTCAAATATGTGTCATAATTTGATCAATTGAATCGCTTTGTTATCGTAACATATTTATCTATTATTATCGTCAAATTATTATCTCACATTGTTTCACCTTTTCCCAACAATATTTTAGCTTTTTCTTCTTTTTTTCACTTTCTTCCCATTTTTACAGTTTTTTCACTGAATATTTTTAGTTTTAAGCTTTTTCCTTCCTATATCTTTTCTCAATTTTATTAGCCTTTTCCTTCTCTAGATTTTCATCCTCGTTCAATCTCAATCATCTCTCACATTGAAAGTCAAAGTGTGCCGTAGTTTGATAAAGAAAAGTTCCCAAGGTAAAAAAAATTAGGACATGGTGAGTATCTAAATATATAACCAACTTGCTTAAGTGATAAAATAAAATAAATTTGAAATTACATAAATGTACTTGTGCAAATAATAATAATCTCTTTATAAAAGGCATAATTGATTTCAAGTTTAATCAATTATGGGTATAATTGAGTTTGGGTTTTATCGATTCAAATTTAATCAATTTCGATTCTATATCGGGTATGAGTATCTTTAGTGCGATCCTGATTCCATTCACTTTGGATCATTTGAGGTATTTGGTTATAGGTTATAGACCGGATCTTTACTTTTCAATCCATTTTGATTTTGGATATTTCGATATGGGTAATCAGCTTTGGTTCTATTTTGCAGGGTCTAACGGTTCTACAATGTAGATTATTAAGATGACTTGAATTTTTAAATAGGGCATATCATCTAAATGCAAAATATAAAAGATCTATGTTTACTAAATTTCTACAAACCTAAAATTAGTCTTCCCATATAATTTAAAAATAATATTAATACAAAAAATATTAATGATCTTGGAAAACCCCAATCCGTCAAGATTTGCAGACCTTTTCAAAGTAAAGTATTACGTAGTAGCTTGGTAACATCACAATTCAAGTATTTAAATATTTATTTAAACCAAACAATTCGATGTGTTTTGGAATAAAATAGGAGTAAAATAATTTGAATCAGGGAGAAAGTAAATAAAATACAACAAATGGGTCAAAGCCCAAAATTCAACACATGATAAAAATTGTTTATTCAAATAAAAATAGTGCACCTCCATGCATCACTTCCATCTCAATGCCTTTGAGGATGGTCTCCACTATCATTCTCTTTCTTGCACCTATGTGTAAATTAAAAGGTGAAGAAGTCAACACGGTCAGAAGTGAAGTGAGAGGTATCTCATGTAGAATACAAAGAATAATCTACAAATACATACATAAATGTTTACACACATTCTTATATGGACTAATTGAGCTGTTTATTAAAAGAGTAGTGGATCTTTACACTTATTAAGTACATGTCTTTATTAAAAGAGTATTAGGTCTAAAATTATTTGACTTTGAAAAAAGTTTAAAAAGCCCACTAACTTACTAACTTTTGTAAAAAATATTTACTTATTTTTTTAGTACCCCGGAGTATATTTTAACATTTTATTTTTTATAAAAACAACATTTGTTCATATATTTCAGAATATATACTCTTTAATTATTTTTGGGAACATATGTACTCTTTAATTATATATTTCATATTATATGCTTTTATATTAATACCTATAAAATTATTAAGGCTGCCATAGCCCACTCGCCCAAAGGACGCCTAGGCGGGCGCCAAATCCCTTAGGCGATTGGTAGGTACCCCAGCGCCTAGATTCACCTAGCCGCCGTAACAACTATGACAAACACAAACACAAAGTACCCCAGCGCCTAGACTCGCCTAGCTGCCGTAACAACTATGACACACACAAAGTAGAGTAATATCTAAAGAATATGAAAGTTTTGCCCTATATTAGTTCTTCTGGTGATTATAAGGAAATCTGCATAAATACTAGAGTATTAGTATTCTCTAAGAAACTTGCAACATTTAAAACACCTTTCCTGGCATCTTTGTGGTTGGTTCATGATTGACCTCCTTCTTGGTACATTGCGATAGCACTTAATGTGTCACTCACAACTTTGAGATGGAGTAGTCCAATGCATCAACAAGGAAATCTGCAGAAATGCATTCATCGCCTGATAGGTAAAGCTCGCCAACAAACAAAGAGTTCACTAAGCATTTCATGGGTTTTAATTTAGTATAACCAGTAACACAAGGGATTGTTTCAGTTCCCTACAAAACATACTTCCAGAATCTAGACACTTTAGTTTTCAGTAAACGCAGTCTCACCCATTTTTGATGACTTAAAAAATCATACAGATTGGAAGACTTAAAAAGTACCTGCATCATCCTTGGTGAAACACATTGGTGGCTTTATTCTAAATACATTCCCATGTAATCCACCTTTACCACAAAGTATACCAAGTTCTGCATCCAAAGAAAACAAGATATTTGTATATTGTTGGAAAAATCAATGAATATATGTTAGAACTCAGAATAAAACAGGATTTCTTTTCCTACTTGTTAATTACTGTATAATATATACCTCTGAGCTTTTCAAATAGAACTGCAGTTTCTGCCTTTGCTGGTGTCTTGTGTTCTCTATCAGTCACTAGTTCTATGCCCACCATTAAACCTCTGCCTCTTACATCTCCAATTACTGGCCAATTGCATGAGACAGATACATACTATTAAGTCTGAGATTTAATATAAAAAACAAATTCAAGAGAAAAAAGGGCATGCGGAGAACAGAAGCCACGAGAAATTGCCCAAATGAAGTTGAAATCACAAAATTAGGGAATGTTTGGCCTAGCTGTAAAAAACAGGTTTTAGGAATATAGCTTTGACCAGTAGGGAGCTTTTGTTAAAAGTGATGTTGAATAAAAGTTGAAAGTTTGGCCCGCATTGAATTGTGTTGAGTTTTTTAAAATATTTAAAATAATGTTGAGAAACATATTTGAGAATGAAAAAGAAAATCTAAGTACCCAACTGAGAGGCCACCCTTATGCATGCCAACATTACAAAAGCTTGAACAATGCCCTCTACTGATATCTTTGACAAATATGGCAGGCATTGGATGAATCGGGGATAAAGACTAATGAAACTAAAGGGAAGTAAACACCCCTAATCCCCTAAATTACTGAATGAAGGTATTGCAATTTGCAAGTACAAGCAAAATGAACCAACTTGGAGGAAAAGCTGGGATCAAAGGCTACATGTTATCTTGACTCTGAGGGTTGACTACCTTGTGAAACATAGGAGGTTGGATGCTGGGAAGATACTATGGTTCAGAAGGAAAGGTGACCATTTGTAGGGGCATAATAGGAAAGGTAACCTAAAGCAATTCCTTTGTTGTAAGGAGAATCAGAATACCCATAAAAAACAGATAATTCTTTTTTGGGTTAAGTATGTTTTTAGTCATCCGTGTAAAACTTTTTTTGTTAAGTCACTCTTACAAAAAAAATATATTTTGAAAATGGTCCTTAAACATAATTTGCACCTCTAGTTTGTTGAGATAACACGTTTATTTCGTACTAAACATCCAAGTCTTGCATTTCTACTACCTCCGACACAATTCTCATGCCCTAAATTGTGTCCTTCATATTACATCTCCAATTCCCAAATATCTTGAGAATATTATATAACATAATTTGGGAATTGGAGATGTAATTTGATGAAAGATATGATCTATGTCATGAGAATTGTGTCTGAGGTAATTAGAAATGCAACACTAGGATGTTAAGTACGAAATAAAAGTGTTAACTACATTTAAGGACCATTTTCAAAATACAAAATTTTGTAAGGATGACTTAACAAAAAAAATTACAAAGACCAAAAACACAAGTCGCCTATTTACCGGGATTAAAAACATATTTATCCCTTTTTGGCTTTTTTTAAAGGAAAACAGGAAAGCCATTTGTTGACCGACGTATTATAAATTTGATTATTCTTTCAAGATTAAAGTATGAACTAGAAGACTAACAATCATGTCTTTGTTGAAGATCCCTGAGGCGACCAATCAAATGGTTCCCAACCTCAGCACAATGCTTTTGACGTTGCTCCTTATCGATAACTTTAAGCACCGCAAGTCCACCAGCAGAGCATACAGGGTTTCCACCAAAAGTGTTGAACTGAATCCTTTGAGCCAGTACGCTAGCAATTTCTGGTGTTGTAACAACGGCTCCAAGTGGTAACCCATTTCCAATACCCTAAAAGACATAATCACCTTTCGATATGCGAAATACATTTAAAACCACAATGGAAGCATGTGAGCAAGTAAACATTCTGTTTCCAGATCAGATAATGAGAAATACCTTGGCCATGGTAACTATGTCAGGTATGACACCCTGGGTCTCGAATCCCCAGTAATGACTTCCGGTGCGACCAAACCCAGTTTGTACTTCATCAGCAATGCAGACACCACCAGCTTTACGAACAATATCATATACCAGTTTTAAGTATCCAGGAGCCAGCTCAACTGCTCCCCCAACTCCCTAAAATTTAGCAAAAGCAAGAAGGGTATGAGTGAAGGGTAGGTACTCGTTTGTTATCTTGGCAAAAAAGCGTCGTTAAAAAGTTGAGACCCATGTACACCAGAGAATTATTTTGCCAAGCCGGCGTAGATCACTAAACAAACCTGAATGGTTTCAGCAATAAAACCAGCAACATTTCCTGAACTACCATGATTAATGTGATCTTGTACATCTTCTGCATATTTTTCGGCATCAGATCCAAATACTCCACGATATGGATTGGGATTAATAACATGATGAATGTCCCCCTAAAATGTAATATCAAGAGGAATGAAATTACTTATATGAATTTTAGAAGAAATCATTATACGCTCTGGATACATGGTAAGGCGGGTAAGCACAATCCAATAAAAGCTACCTGCAGCACATGCAAGATATAGCAAAGAAAAAGTATTCAATGCCATCTTGAGTATGACTTCAGGAAACTTGTTATTGCTACAAACCTGTGAAATTGGGTACTTCCACGTGCTAAGACCAGTCAGCCCAATGGTATTTGAGCTGCCGCCGTGATAAGAATTTCTAAGGGCAATCATGTCAGAGTTGCCAGTATACAATCTTGCTATGAGTGTTGCTAGTTCATTTGCTTCAGTCCCTGAATTTACAAAGTATACAACCTGCACGTCCAAAATTAGGCACAGAAATCTTGTCTCTTATACTTTTGCAGTAACTCTTTAAACTTCTAAGCGTCCCCTCATTAGGAATAACATGCTTTACTCTAAGTCTGTGAGTTAAATATCATTTTGTTTCCAAGTATTCTGATAAACTAAATGTCTTAATCTAGTATCGATTCTCTTCCTCATATGTGTGCTTGGGATAGTTCAAAGAGGAAACAAAAGGCATTGATGAATGATTCAGATGATCTACATATTGTTTAAAGTATAATTCAGCGAATATAGGATTATCACTAGTGAAACATGAAAATAAAACTCCTACAAGTTTTATGTGTGCAATTATTCGCCAAGAGTGCAAAACTATATAAGAACCTTTAAGTTTCCCGGCATCTTAGAAGCCAATGCCTCAGCAAAATCAGCTATCGCGTGGTGCAAATATATAGTTGTGGCATGTTGAAGAAGTTTGCTTTGTTCAATAATTGCATCAAGAATATCCGGATGGCAATGCCCACAGGACACAGTAACTATTCCAGCAAAAGCATCAAGATAACGCTTCCCATTCTCATCATATAAATATTGCATCTTCCCTTCAACAATATTGAGCTGTTGAACACATAAAGAGCTATAGCTTCACTAAATTTGCTCAGAATAGAGAAACATGAGAGAAATTAGAGCTTAAACCGAATCAAACATCATGATTCTTTGATCAAAGTCACGAGCATGGATCTCTATGCAAAACTATCAATTCATGATCACTTTTTTCCACATTATTTCCATAAGAGCAATTCAAGATATGGGTAGAGAGAGAGAGAGAGACTGTACAGGTTTCTGGTAGAAGTGAAACAGAGAAGGACCCAAGTACTGCTTTCGCTTCCTCCAAACCTCATCTGCTGACTGGCCCTTGTAAGGTGTTGGAGTGTAGTCAAACGGCGGCATCTCAGGCGGCACCAAAGCGGAGGAGAAGCCGCGCTCCGTCGTGCCGTACAACCATTTGGTTGCACTCAGCTTCGGTGCTGCAGCAAACAACAGTTTCCTCTGTAACGCCATCTTTGCTTTTTTTTTTGGGTTGGGCGGATCAGAGGGAAGGGAGTGGTAGAGAGAGGAGAGGTAGGATTCTCCTTGGATTGGTTTGAACGGAGAACGAGTCGGGGTGGTTTTGAGTTGGTATACAGTTACTATACACTACAAATTGCACAAAAAAAAACAGCTACCCCCTATTTCACAGAAAAATTACTCTTGCGAAATCTACATTTTCGAATAAAAATTCACACGTCCTATATTATCTTTAATTGAGTATAGTATGGGGTAATCTTAATCTTTTGTTAAGAATTATTAGATTTCACATTATCTAAAAAATATTTTAGGAGTCTTTAAATTTTATGGTAATGTACTCTGGTTATTTATTTGACCGTTATAATTGAAAGTAATGTTATTTTGACTAATATTATTTTTTACATTGATAATTATTATTTTATTTTATTAAATTAAAATAAAATACATCAATTTGTTAGAGTAAAATAACATTTAATTTAACGCCTAAATTGATATAATGCACCATCTGAGTATAATACCCAGGAGTATCACAAATTTTAAGGACCTCGAAGTATATTTTGAATAATGTGAGATTTGAGAATTATTATAAAAAAAAATTGAAGGGACCCTAAAGTAAATTTCACAGAATTTGGAACCTAAAAGTTATTATCATAAAATCAAGACAAAAAAGTAACTTTTTCCCCAATTTTATGTTTATAACGGCCACTTCTGTCATGCCTTTATCCCCCCTCCAAATTCCACCTCGATACTTCTTCTTCAACTGATGAAGCTGCAATTGACCTTTACATAAACGATGAGTTATTTGATTTCTAGGATTTAAATTTTACGTAAGTGATTGTTGTGATTATGCCCAAGATTTTACTGGTTTACATTTTGTTGTTTCCTATAAGTTCACCGTTTGAATCTATGATGCTTGTTCTTGAAATATATGTTTTCGTAGTAATTGTTGTGCTCTTAGAATGTAAATGTTGGTGATATAAGGGTATTTTTTCTTTTTCCATGGTTGAGGCTCGAGCGGGATTCAAGGTATATGTAGAAGATAAATGCATAACAGTTGAAGGCATCGATTTGGACTTGTATTTCACCAAGGACTTGTATGTCGATATTATTACCTTGGCCCAAGAACAAAATATTTACCTCCCTAGGTATATTGGCTTTAAATATCATCCTCCATTTAAAGAAGTTATGCTTGAGAGTCTCTCAACTGGACTGGGACAAAATGGTTGGTTACTTGGGGGATATACCCACCATTCATATACCCTTGCTTGTTATTAATTTGCAAGAGGCCAATGCACTACAACTTATGGCTGAAAGAATTGAGCCCAATGTTCAGACCTCAATAGACCTGAATTTAACTAATGTAGAGCAGTGGGGTGATGATTTACTTGTTACCTTCCCCACATAAAGTGTAACCTTCTTTCATGTGCAACCCATTTGAAACACCCTTGTATGCTACCTTTCCAGAAGCTTTTCAAACAACTACAATGTTAGTCGGTTTAGTCGTTGTGCCCTTGCCTTAGAGGGGGGTGAATAAGGCGTTTAAAATCTTTTCAGAGTTTGATAAAAACGGTGTTGGCAAATGCGGAAACAATATATAAAACGCAGAAATAAAAGCGTAAATAAAATGCACACCGATTTTATACTGGTTCGGTAAACCCCTACTCTAGTACCTCGAGGCTCCTCCTCAAGGATTTTCGAATCCACTAAGTTCCGGTCTCTTGAACTCCGTCAAAGCACCGCTCTAGTTTGGCAAACAACCCTTGCCAATAGGATTCACTCCGAGATTTCACTACAGCTATCTCGAACCGTTTACAATGAAGATTTAACGGCTATCTTCTACCGCTCCCCCAAGGATTTCAAAGGCTATCCTTGAACCTTTACCCAAGGATTTATACGGCTAACCTTAACCGTTACAACGTGAGAATTTAACGGCTATTCTCGACCGTAAGAAGGTGTGTTTGAAGAACACAAAAGAGGATTCTACACAACGACTAGAATATAAAAATGAAGAGCAAAAATTAGCCGGTCTTGAAGGAAATTATACTCTCTCAAAAATACAATATAAACTTATGAATATGAGAGTATATAACTAGAAACACAAGCTCAAAGTGTGCATATAAAATTCAGGAATTTAAGGCTCTTGAAATAGCCAAAATATTGAAAATAATTAATAAAAGGATGAACACACTTAGAATAAAAAGAGAAGATGTTTAGAGCTTTGTTTCTTGAAGAAATATGAAGGATTATGCTTGTATTTATAGTGAAAGATGTTAATTAGCCGTTGGGAGGTGATTATGGTTGATTTAATTCAAAATCACAAATCAGGAACAGTAACCTAACGGTTACGGTAGGCAGGTACCGTCCACACGGTAGCATGGTACCGTGCATACGGTAGGGGGTACCATGAGTGGCGGCACCTCGGTACCGTGTAACACAAAAAATCCATTCGGCTCTAGCGGTACTTGGATAGGACGGTATGGGGGTACCGTGTAGGAAGTATACCCTACCGTTTGGGCGGTATTGGGTACCGCTAGGGGTACCGTGGCTCTGTTTTGATTTTTTCAAACTTCCCTTAATCCTTCGTGTTTGAGTTGAAAACTTTTTGGATATTTGAAAATGTTTATGAGATGGTTTTAAAACATTTTTTGTGAGTGCTTTTGAGCTTGTGAATATAGGTATATAAAATCATATTCTTACATTAGTTTCCACCTATATTCTACGCTAGTTTGGTATTTCAACTTCATTCCTGAGTACCGAATCTTAATGGATTCTTGTTGTACTTGAAACACTTAAACAAACATCAAGCTCTTATATTGTTTGTTAACATCAAAACATGAGACTTAGCAAACCAAGGCTAACATACAAATAGGGCTGTTCATCAGTCTAGAACCGGACCGAACCGGACCGGACCGGACCAAAAATCGAAATGGAATAAAATGAAGACCGAAGACCAGACCTATAAATACTCGGTCTTAGACCGAACCGGACCGAAATGTATAAGACTGAACCGGTAAAGACCGGATGGACCGAAGATGAAGAAGAACAAATCAACATATTCATATTAGGGAGTGTTTTGTTTTGCAGCAGATTCATGTTTATTGTAAAAGTAAACAAGATCTCAAATGTAAAACACCATGAAACTTTAAAAAAAAGGAATGACCACTTTAAAAAACAAATACTCCATAGTACATCTGTAGATGAGCAAAAAAACAAACCCACTCAAGCAATGAATGGTCACTTTTAATTCTAGTTGATTGGCACACAGAGAAAGATTTGAAGGAGGACACTGAACAGTGGCCACGTTCAGTGGAGGTGTATAAAACTCATAAAAGCAACCCACAAGCTTTGAAAGGCATCGCCCATATGCCAGAGTAGCAAGACAACGACGATGGAGTATAGATTAAGAGTCAACCATAGCTGAAGGAAGCTTCAAGCCATGGTCAACAATGGCAGAGATATATAGATTCGAACAAACATTAACCGAGACATAACTCAAAATCCAACCAAAAGTAAAGATTGAAACAGCTGAAAGGATCATAATCATGTGGAGAACTCAAATTTATTGGTAGATTAGTTAATCGTGGAAGGAGGAGGTTCAATTTGAAGTTGGCGATGGAGGAAGAAGGGGCCAACTTCTCCAAACCAGAAAAAAAAGATACTCCGTAAAAAATAAGGTAGGTGGACCGTGGACTGGGCTAAAACATCAAAGAGTATTTATATTTCGGTCATTTCGGTCTAGACCGAAAAACTTTCGGCCCTGGACCGGACCGGACCGAAAGCCGAAATCTTAAATAATTTAGACCGAAGACCAACCCGAAATCTACTCGGTCCGGGTTCCGTCTGGACCTAACGGTCCGGTTCGGTCGGTTATTTCGGTCTGGACCTAAACATGAACAGCCCTACATACAAATGCATTGTCCACCTCATTAGAGGAAGGTGAAACTAGTAGGAAGTCAGTAAAGCAGAGAATGACGATAAAGGGAAAAGGAACACACCAATATGATGCAATTGAAGTTATAATTAAACTTTGCAATAAAGAATTAATAGGGTTAGAGGCACATGACATCTCAACATTAAGTAAACCACACTTACCTATGTTATATTTGTTTTTTAGACAACCTATGATCCCCAGGGTGAGTAGGATATCGAGATTGAGGGGGAAGAAGATGCTGGCAGTGACGACTCTATAGAGGGAGTGATTATGTCGGTGAGGATGCATAAGGGATTAGTAGTGAAGATTTCTTTGTATATGGAATCAGATGCTATAGAGGATATGGACATAGATGAAGGCACCCTCTCTAGGCAGGTGCTTGGTAATGAGAAAGATGATAGAGAGGGTAGTGGGAGCTTAACAACAGTAAATTATGGCTAAAATTTTTAAAACTAGTAGGCTTTGGACCAGGAGTAAAGATGGCAAGGTGGAGGTGAATGTTGGTGACATTTTCATTAGTACGGAAGATTTTCTTAGGGTAATGAAAGACTGCATCATCCAAAGACGAATGTAACGCCCCAAAACATACCCTAAAATTATTATTGAATTATTATTCAATTAATCAAATTTATTTTGATTAAAATAAATTATTGTTGGGTTTTGGGTCGAGGTGAAATATGTTTTGATATCCAATATCACAATCTGGATAAGTCTCATAAAGATAAATCCAATATGTTGAGTTATTGTGTAATCTTGATTGGGAACCAGAATACAGACCCAAATATTGAATAAATAATGAATTTGTTTATGAGGTGAACTTTGAAATAATTTATTAAAATAAATCATGAGAATAAGTACTATGAATTAAATGAAAGAACCTTTTTGAGTAAAAGGTCAATTATATAAATTTTGACTCTCTCAAAGTCAAACACCCAAAAATATGATGTCGGAAAAAGTATTACAAATAAATATAAAAGTTACTTCCTCCGTCCTATAATGTTCTTTCCGTTTGTGTTTACGAGGTTGGACCGACTTTATTTTCAATTCAATTTATTTAATTGTAGGTGTAAAATTAAAATATAAAATTTATATATTTAAAAACTACATCAAAAGTTCTACAAAACAAGTGGTGACAAAACTATATTTTTTTTATCAATTACATA